GGGATGGAGGGGGAGGGGGTGGAGGGGGATGGAGGGGAGGCAGGGTTCCCCTCCCTCCCACCACCAGGCTGCTGACTCTGTCCACACAGGGCTGCAGAGACCCACAGCGGGCACTGGGCAGCCCCAGGCACCCCCCACGAAACCAGTGCCCCCTGCAGGCCACAGCCCATCCCCGTGAGGAACTTTGCCCGGGTGTGCACAGAACGGGCCGCCAATGGCAATGCAGGCTTCCTGGGGGAGCACCAGGTGGCTGGGGGCTGGGCAGGGCAGCATGGGGTCCCCTCGAGCCAGGGCTTCTGCACCCTGCCTGCCTCATGTTGCCCCCTGCCCCCCAGCTCCTGCTCCAGGCCCTAAAGGATGAGCCTGGCTCTGGGACACCCCCTCCCCATGGTGAGCAGAATGGTACGGCCTCCAGTGCGTGCCGGCGGGTGCTTGGGCTCGGGTGGACCAGGCACGGGGCATGGGCCTCTGGCGGTCTCACCCCTGCCCCCACTCCACAGATGGCCGTTGTCACGAGTGGTCCCCTTCGGTGGAGAGTGGCCTGGCTAGGGAGATGCTTGAAGCCTGGCTCTTCCCTGTAAGCGCATGCCCTCTGACCGTGTGGGCAGGGCCTGGGGGGTTGGGGGTTCTAGAGCTGAGAGAGTGGGGACACGCTGTGCTCTGCAGGCCAGGCCCTCTGGCCGCGACCACGTGGTGCTCACCGGCCCCGAAGGGCCAGCTGAACTCTGGGAGCTGGTGTGGGAGCATGGGGCCTTCGTGCTGGTCTCCTTGTGCCCACCGGACCCCCAAGAGGAGGTGAGGGGCAGGGCAGAGAGTGGGCCGCCGGGGGCTGGAGTGGGGCACGGAGCGGGCCACGGTGGGGTTGGGCCGGCTGGCCGAGCAGCCCAGATGGGTCCGCCACAGGAGTTCTGGCCCACAGAGACGCAGCCTGTTATCACGGACGCGGTGACTGTGCGCTGGGTGGCAGACGGCAGTGCTGCAGGCTGGCCCTGCACCTTCCTTCATGTCACACATGTAAGCTGGGCTGCGGGGTGGGTGGGGGGCACTCCATAGAGCCTCCCGGACCACCCCCTGGCAGCGGTGCCAACGTCTCTGCCAAGAAGGCGAGCAGGAAGGAGAGACCAGTGCAGCGGCTGCAGTTCCCGTGCTGGGAGCCAGGCCAGGCGCTCCCCACCGAGACCCTGCTGCCCTTCCTGGCCGCCGTGGTCTGGTGCTGCTCCCGGGACACCGAGCAGCCAGGCACGCTGCTCAGTCACTGCAGGTGCCACTGGACGGAGCCCCGGGGAGTGGGCAGAGCACGCACAGCCTCCCGGCTTGGGGCGAGGGCCAGAGGACACAGCCCCCCTCGCTCTGTGCCGACACGCTCTGGGAACCCGTGCCCCTCCGCCTGGGCCCAGGCTGGCGATGGCTCTCCTGGGCGTCCCTCCCCGGTGCCCCAGCCCAGGCCCCCAGTTGCCCCTCCAACTTGAGGTAAATTGCAGCGAGGGTACGGCCCAGCTGGGCACCTTCCTGGCCCTGGAGCAGCTGCTGCAGCAGGAAGGGACTGAGGGCGCCGTGGACGCCTTCACTGTGGCCTTGCAGCAGTCGCAGGCCTGCGGCCTCATGACCCCAATGCTGGTGAGTGGCCCCGGGGCTCAGCCTCGGGACCGGGGGGGGGGGGGGTGCGGGAGGGGTCCGCCCCAGGCCATCCAGGGCCCCCCCCGCTCTCCGTGGAGGCCGTCCTTCACCGCGGCCCCCCGCCCGCCCCCAGGAGCAGTACGTCCACCTCTACAGCTGCCTCGACAGCGCGCTCTCGGAAGGGCTGCCGTGAGTCACCCAGTCCCTGCTGTGTGGGAGGCGGTGCTGGCCCGGCAAGCCCACTGCGGCCCGGCTTCCCCGGGAGGGCGGCCTGCACGCCAGCCCCGTGCTGTGAAGGGCAATAAACAGTGTGGTCAAACCTGAGGCTGAATGTGTTCTGTCCGGGGAGACTGGGAGATGGGGGTGCTTTCAGCCTGGCCTTGCCTCCCGCCGTGACCCTGCCCAGGGTAGGCGCTGGAGGGTGGCTGTTCCCCGGCCACAGTGGCTGGGTTTCGTGTGCCCCTGCCCTCCACCAGTGAGGGAACCTAGGCAGGAGAACCAGGAAGGAGGGCACAGGTGCCCACCGCGGTGACACCATTGCTCACAGCCTCAGCGGGGCCGGCTGGGGGGTCCTGCATCGACTGCAAGTTCCTGAACGGCTCCTGGGGGAGAGCCTGGGGGACAGAGAGAGGCCGGACAAGGCAAAGCAGGAGCCTCAGTGGGGGCAGACCTGGAGGCGGGGAGGGGCGGCACCCAGCTCCTGGCAAAGGCCTGTGGGACGGGAGCAGAGGCAGGGGCCTCCCCAGGATGGGGTGCAGCTCTGGGGCCCCGGGGCTGGGTCACATGCTCTTCACACGTGCATTTATCTGGAGTGGGACTGGCCCTCCAGAGGCTAGAGACTCACTCTGAGCCCCCATCCCCCACTGCCCAGGGGCCACAGGGCTCCCGTGGCCGGAGCCCAGCGGCTTGTCCACAGGGCCGTGCCCACTGCGAGGCTGCAGGTCAGGTCTCCCCCTTCCTGGCCCAGCTGTGCCACCCCCGGGCCTGGCGGGGAGGGCACTAGCGAGAACGGGAGGGGTGGTGGCCAGCTCTGGGGCGCAGCTGTCCTGGAGGAAGGACCCCTGGCCGCCTTGAGGCCTCAGGCGGCAGCTGCTGTACACTCGGGGGCAGCGGGAGACCAGAAAGCAGGAGGGGCCGGAGCTACCCCTGCCAGCGGGGTCTGGCCCCCACAGGTGACCCAGCTTCAGCCGTCCGCTCTGTCCCTCGGGCCTTGGGCCTGGCCTGGCCGGCCGAATTGGTCAAGCCGCAGCTGCTGGACTGGCCTCTGGGGCCTGGGGGTGCTGACCCACCAACACTCAGGTTGGCTCTGACGACCAGGGGGTCGCCAGCCTGGCCCCATGCCCGGCTCTGTCAGGCAGGAAGCAGGTTGAGAGCTCCCAGCCTCACAGCCATTGGACAGTTGGACATCACCCTTTCGGTGGCAACCTGGGGCTTCACTGAAGACCGCTTGTCGTAGCCCCAGTGGCCGCCTTGCAGGCTCCGACCCCTCACTGCTGGGCTCTGAGGACCACCCACCGCACCCCTCCATGCCCTCCCCGGGTGCGGACTGCGGCTGGAGCTCCACGTCTGGGACTGCGGAGGGTGTGGGGGCCCTACCCCGGCCCAGGGATGAGCTTGAACAAAGCCCGTCCCTCCTGGGTCCCAGCTCCCTGTGGTGGGAACGGTGCTGGAGGGGCTGTGGAAACGCTCGAGGTGTCCCAGGGAGGGGCCGTTCCATCCCCCCCCCCCTCCCCGCTCCCAGGCGGTCCCCCAGGGAGGAGGTCCTGCGCCCAAACGCCCGCAGGTATGCGCTCCAGGCTGTTCGCTTTTTCCTTTCCTGGATGAAACTCCTGCCACTTTGGGAGGAAGGGGAGCGGGCAGGCGAGCTTTCCCTGACTCCTCCTCCGCGGCCTCGCCCTCCTTTGCCAAGCCCAGTCCGCGAAGCCGGGAGCAAAGAAGCGAAGCCTGCGCCTGTCCGACCTCGCGCCCCGCCAGCGCCGCGCAGAGCCGGCAGTCCCGCCAGGTGCCTCCGCCGCGGGCAACCGAGATGCCCCGCGCACTCCGGCTCCTGCCGCTGTGGCTCTGCGCCGCGGCGCTCTGCGCCCCGCCGGACACCGTCTGTCCGGCTCCCTGCCGCTGCCGCGAGGCCGGCATCCTGCTGTGGGCGGACTGCTCCGAGCGGGGGCTCTCCACGGTGCCGGCGGGCCTGGACCCCCTGACCGCCTACCTGTGAGTACCGCGCGCTTCCCTGGCACCTGCGTCGCTGCGCGGCCACCGCGGTTGGAGCCCCGAGGCGCGGCAGCCTCTGCCAGTCCCGGGCTGCTGGGCTGCGGGGCGAGGGTGGGGGAACGCGCTCCCAGGCGGGCAGGGCTGGGGGCTGCCCTGGCTCGTTCCCACTTGGCCCCGATCTCGGGGCTTCATGATAGGGACCCCGCCTGGGCAGAGGGGAGTCTCCGAGCCCCAAGCGGAGGGGCCAGGCCCGGCGGCCCCTCGTCCTCCTGCTGGTTTCCCCTCCGGAAGAGCAGCATCCAGGACAGTGGTGGGGTGAGGTGGACAGACTTGGTGGAGGAGAGGGGAGGCCCTGCGGGGCACGAGGCCAGCAGAGCTGTCCCCCGAGCTGGGTGGCCTTGGTGGGGCGACCGAAGGTGGGGTCCACGCAGCGAGCGGCAGACACACAGCTGTGGGCAGTGCCCAGGGCTGTCCCTGGCCTGGGGAATCCGGGTGGTATTGAGTCCCTACTTTGTTCAGGAAGCAGGAGGGGAGCAGCGCTGCTTGGAGAAGATCGGAGCCCTCAGCCCTCGTTTCCACCCCCTTCTGCCCACCGCAGCGGTGGGCTGCCCTCTCGAACCCGGGGCTCCTTGGCGCCCCTACGGCTCAGGCTCCGGCTCCTTCTAGGGTCTTCGAGGGCACCCTCTGGCCGTTCCCTGTGCATCCAAGTGTCCTGATCTGACCTCTCGCCTTCTCCCCATGTTAGCGGGACTCCTGTCCACTCCCCCCCACCTCCAGTTCACAGCTGGCTGGACCTTGAGCCCGGGGCAGCCGAGTCCTGACCGAGGCCAGCGCCTCGAGGCCACCTCCCCTCCTCCCCCCACGGCCCGAGGGGCAGTTTCCCTCCCGCGCTCTCCCTCACACCCCCTCCCCACCCCGGACACCGACAGGAGGCAAGACAGCCCCTCGGGACTTGTCAGGCGCTCAAGACTTTACCGGGCAGCTTCCTGCCTCCTTGGGCCCCACTCGCTGGAGGGCTGCTGTGACGACCCCTGACCCTGACGGAAGGAAGATGATGGGCAGTCCGAGTCATTCATCACTGCCGGGTGGGGGGGGGGGCAGCGGAAAAGGGTCGGAGGCGGGGTCACAGCAGAGCAGGGCTGGAGTCATCTGAGCTGGTGACCTGGGCCCATTGCCTACCTGTGAACTGCGCTCAGGCCTGGCTCACAAGGACGTGGTCTGGATTCACTGAGGCAATGTTCCTAAAGTGTCTGGCACAGTGCCTGGCCCCTGGGGAGAGCCTGTTGTTAGCAGTGTTGTTATTAGGGTGGCCAGAGCCAAGAAGTGTTCGTCAAGGAGGTCTTCCTGGAGGAGGAAGTGTGGGGTTAGCAGGGGGTGGGTGGAGAGTTGTGGGGTGCGTGTGCGTGCCTGGTGGAGGCTGAGAGGGCAGAGAGTAGGCGCAGGGGGCTGCGAGGAGCCCCTGGGGCCTGGGCGGGCTTTAGCTTTCTCCTGGCAGGTGGGGACGCTGAGACTTGCGGTGTGTGGGCGGGAGCAACGGCTGGGAGACCCCAGGGGCCACTGGGGGCAGGCCGGGAGTCTCGGGAGGAGGGCGGGCGTGTCGTGTCGGGGAGCCCACGCCCCAGTTCAAAGGAGAGGCGGAGGCAGCCCCAGGCGAAATAAAGAGGAAATGTCTGGAGTGGTGGGTGGGGCGCTGGTGGAGGAGAAGAAAGGCTGACTGGGGGTGCCGGCCCGCCCTGAGGGCCCTCTGCCTGCCGGCTCCCCTGCAGCAGCACTTCTGTGCGGATCATGCCCGCCGGCTGAGCCAGGTGGACGCGGTGCCTGGAGGCCCTGCCCGGCCTGCGCCCTGTCTCAGCCCCTCTGCTCATGGCCTGCAGCTCAGCCCCGCGCGGCTTCCGACTGTGGCTCATTCGAGGTGGTCCTGTGCACAGCACCCAGGCGGGAGGGCTGGTGGGAGGCGCCGCCGGGTGGAGGGGCCAAACCGGGGGCCACTCGTGTCGGGTCTGCTGTGCAACGTTGACGGCGGGTCTTGTTTTTCTCAAGCTTCAACCACCAATGGCCTGCTGAGCCCAGGAAGGACGGCAGACCCGCCTGTGAGGGGGGAGCTCTGGGGTCTGGGCTCTGGGGCCCGAGGTGCTGCCCGTGTTCCGACCCCGTCCCCAACCCCCCAACCCCATCAGCATCAAGCCCCCACCCGGGGACCGCAGCGCAGTGCCTTCCCCGAGCCTGCTTTGCTCTTGGGCTCCTGGCAGGCAGGCGCTGGGGGATGGAGGAAATGACCGGTCTCCCATGGTACCTGGAGGAGCTGGGCACCCGGGGACGTTCCAGGAGGAAGGGCCAGGATTCCAGGTGACTGCCGTCTGCAGGATCCAGCTTCTGCGAAGAAGCGTGTTCTGTGGAATGAGCGGGTCCTGAGTGCGCACTGGGGCGGGCCAAGGGGCAGGCTCTCCTGCCCCAGGACAGACCTGGGGGTCTCTGAGGACCCTGACGGTCCCCAGGAGCAGGGCTCTGGGCGCCCAACTGGGCTCGGACCCCTTGGGAAGCTGCAGGAGACAGCGACGGGAGACATTCCCACCCTGTGCCCCCAAGCTGGAAAAGACAAGGCTTTTGAGCCCAACTGAAATGGACTCACTGACTCGGGGCTCTCCTATGGTGGGGGCCCCTGTGTGCTCACTAGTCCCCTGATAAGGGGGTGGCTCCCAGCTGCTGACACCAGCTCAGGCTCGCCTCACCCGCAGACGTAGGAGAACAGGTCTCCGAGGGGAACAACACCCCAGAGGCCAAACCTGGGCAGAGAGCAGAGAGTTGTTCTGGAACCTGCAGGAGGGCATGGTGCAGAGGAGAGCTGGGGGCTGCCCTTGTGACCCCCGAGCCATGCCAGCGGGCAGGCGCCAGGCAGTGGGTGGCTGGGGTAGGGCTGCCGCCCCGTGACAGGAGCCCCTGGGCAGAGGCCCTCGGTCCCGCTTCCTGCCCCCGGGTCCTGTCTCCTGCCCCCGGGTCCCATCTCTCACCTGTTCCTTTCTGCCCTCCCTCCCAGCTCCACTGCATAGGGGGAATGCC